TTTTCTGGTACCTGCTCAATAGGCGAACCATGATAAAGTAGCATGGAACGTAATTGCTTCACAATGATGTTGCTCGATTGTTTAAGGGTGCACAATTGTTGAATAACGCTGGTCAATATAGTCTTCTTGACATTTGGAACATAGAGCAGCCTTAAAAGAAGAGAGATATCCTCTTCTTTTAGGATTGGCTCTAACTCTTCTTCCTTCTTGTCAACTTGAGAAATTTGCTTCTTGATTGCTTTTGCTAAGAAATTTGATCTGGTTGTTTCTTGTTGTTGTTGTCTTCTGATATCTCTTTGGCGACTTTGACGTTGATATTGAAGTTGTCTAACGTTATAAGCCTCCTCAGCCATTTCTGGTGGGAGTTGTCTGAGAACTTCTTCATCTGTTGTGAGATAGATTTCGTTACGAAGATCCGGAGGGAGTGACATCAAGAATTCAGCCGTACTAAGCTCACGCTCTTGAGTTGGAGGAGGATTTGCTGAAGAGGTGGTAGTGGATGGAGGAGGTGTAGCTGACGCTGCTCCAGTAGTAGAAGGGGTGGTCTCTTGAGCTGTTGGTAAGGTATGAGAGGGAGATGATCTAGTTGCAGATCTTCTTCGTTGTTGCTCTCGCAATTCTCTTTCTAATTGTAAAACCTCATTTCTAATCTCCAAAGGCAAAGCGTTCAAAAATCTTGACTAATAGTTGTTTCCTCGCTTGTGGAAGAAATGTCTACAAGAGATGCAATGTGAGTGGCAAGTACCTCTTGTCTAATGTCGTCTGGAATAGCAGCCAAAAATTGAGGGTCAATGGCAAATTCTTGGGTTGTTGTAGTGGTTGTGGAAGAGGTAGGAGGAGCGGTGTTACTACTTGTCGCTTGCTCTTGCTCGACTGGAGTTGCTGTCGGTAGTGTCGCGTCACTTGAAGAAGTAGCAGTGGTATTTGCAGTTGCATCAATTGAACTACTTGTGGCAGCTGATTGTCGAGGCAACAATGAATCCAAACCAGACAAGCTTGAGATCATTTGTTCGAGGGTCACCACTGATGGTTGTTCGACAGTGGTGTTGGTAGGTTGTAACAAAATCATATCTGAAGTAGTGGTTGTTGTTGCTGCACTAGTGCTGAGATCTGTGTTTCCTGTGACAGATGGTGGTACCTCTGGAATAATAGGGATATTCAAAGTTGATTGTTGTGAAGTATCAACCTGAGGAATTGGAGACACATCCACAATGTTACTTGGCAAATTGCTTGGTGTTACTACAGGTTCAAAAGTGACTGGTGTAGCTGCTGTTGGAGTAACAGGTTGATCCTGAACGGGTTGAGGAGTGATTGGACGAGGAAGAATTGGTTCTTCTGCGTCACTTGCTTCGCTCGCATCAGATTCAGTTGGTGAGGTGGACCTGGTTGGACTTATACTTCTTGGTGCACTTGGTGTCAATCCAAGCCCAAATGATGATCTTCTTTCAGATACTTTTTTTGGCTTTAAAATGTTAGAGCTAGAATCAGAGTCATCTTTCAACAATTCAGTAAGCATTTGTTCCAATTCTGCAGGTACCGAAGCAGCTGAAGAGCGAGAAAGTCCTGAAGATGAAAAAACAGTCGTACCATAATCAAGATTTCTTCCACTAAAATCAATGTTGAATAAACGAGCAGCGCCGTAACGGCTAGTGTCAGAGCGTGATGTTGAACTGCTTGAGGGAGCTTGTGTGCCAACAGGTTCATAATCTGCTGATGAAGCACCTCCTGGTCTGTAAGGTGGAGGCACCATCCCCAAACGAAGTGGGAATTGTCCACTCAAATTTGAGAACATTCCACTTGTAATCAAATTTTCCAATCGCGCTGGGAAGTTGCGTCCAATATCAAAAAGAGAGGATGGATCAAGTACAGTATCTTGGTCAATCTCGTATTCTCCATAGTAAATATCTCCTGCCAAATCATCACCCATAAGGACATCATCTTCCTCTTCATCTTCAACATTTTCCAGAAGAGGAGCATTGTCTGCAAGTAGTAAATGGAAGAATTACAATATGATGAAAGGCCATGATTTTT